CTATCCACTATATCCAGGTATACACACGTTTTCCAGTTTAGTGCGATGAAGTTTATTTCCTGGACAACTTAGTTTCACGAAGCCCAACACACTCAGGTTGGTTTGAAATTCAGAATTTCCTGCTCTTAGAATGCTTGCCAAGACAAGGCTATAGAACCCAGCCTGCCCTGCTATAGAACCCAGCCTGCCCTGCTATAGAAACCAGCCTGCCTTGCTATAGAAACCAGTCTGCCCTTCTATAGAAACCAGCCTGTCTTGCTATAGTTAAAGAGAAGAGATGGATTAGCGCCTTTTTCAAAGGACATCAGTGTGTAAATAAATGTAATGACTTGATTAGTATTTGACCTCAGCTCTCCGATTTCAATCCGAGCCGCTAAGTATTATTCCACCGTACCCTTTACCGTGTCCTGTTGATTATCTTGCAAATAACAAACGTTTACAACACCATGTTAATCACAGTTTTAATTTTACTGTCATTATTTACACTATTTACTATTATGTTAATCTCGCCTAGTTCGTGAATGATATAGCAATTGTGAGTTCACTCCCTGGACCGGGAAAATGTGTACTTGAACTCAGTAGAAACCAGGCGAGCCAAAACTGAGCAGTAGTAAACATAAAAACTAGACGAGATATCTCTAGACATTGGCAGTGGAACGAGAACAATCTACCTCCATAGATTAAATAAAGGGCTCAGTTCACTCCTTGGACAGAGCAGTGTGTACTTGGACCCAGAGGGATCACGACGAGCAATGATTGAACTGTACTATAAATAAGAACTAGACTAGATATCCCTAGACATGTGCGGTGGAATGAGAACAGCTTACCCCAGTAATTTAAATAAAGGATTCAGTTCGGAATTCCTTGTAGGTTGACACGGTCGACATACACCTGATGAAGGCCGGAAGGCACAACGGTCGAAACGTTATAACAACAACAACAGCAAATATTAGGACAATAGTCCGCATGTAAATGGAGTAAATAAAGATAACTTCTCATCCCAGAAATTCAGACAGAAGACGATTAGATGATAAAAACAACAATGATCAGGATATTATTCTGAGTGTAAATAATATTAACTTCTCATCGCAGAAATTCAGACGGAAGACGATTAGATGATAAAAACAACAAGGATCAGGATATTATTCTGAGTGTAAATAATATTACCTTCTCATCGCAGAAATTTCGACGGAATCTTTACTTTCTTCAGACTTAACAGATTTGGACCATTCAGTGATAATCAGACGTATTCAAATGACTTGAGGTAATAGCTCATTAACCATAACTCTACAACAAATAGCAAATTATCTTTCAAAAAAGGAATACCTATATAGCGGTGGGAAGGGCGGTTTCACTCTGGGTGGCAAATGCAAGTGAATTAGTGTAATGAAATAGCTTGCAAAGTTAGTGGCCTCTTTATTGTTGTTTTTTATCTTAATTCATCAAAATCTAAATGATGTGATTCCAGATTTGACAGAGGGAAGGCAGAAAAAAATCACTTTGAAAATCACCGATATTGTTGTTCTTCCTGGATTTTTTTTGCAATCAAAACAAAATAAATAGCTAAAATTATCATCTTTCGTTATACGAGGTCTGACAAAATATTGAATCTTGTGCTATAAAAAGTGTAATTTACCCACACACGCATGGACTCTCCCAGCTATAAATAGGAGCAGGTACTGCCATTTGGAGAGTGAAGTTTCCAGCAGTCAGCTCTGACAGACAGACCGAACATTCTTTCTGTAACACTCCCATTTGTATATGTTTGTATTACAGTTTCCGTTAATATATTTGTTTAACTCAATTCCTCTCTTTGTTTCTTTATTTCTGTCCCTAACAAGGCCACAACAAAAAGAAAACTACAAAATATATCAATTCTACATTTAATCTACTACGAAGTAGTCACCTTCTAGTACCACACAATTTATCTGTCTTAGTTTCCATTAATGGAAATATTCGTGGAACTCTTTTTTGAAGATAATGAGAAGCTACCTCGTCGTATTCTCTTGGATTTTCTCGACGTCTTGACATTGTGTTACTTTTAGGTGGGGTTAGATTTTTGAAGAGGAAAAGGTCGCATGGAATGAGATCTGTGGAATATGGTGTTTTAGGACCCGAGGAATGCCGCCTTCGGTCAAAAACTGCTTTACAAACAATAGGCATTGATGGGACCTCTGCGCTGTGGTAAGACGACCATACTCTACACACTTTCCTTCCAAACGTTATAATTTAGTGTGTATACGTGGCAGAGTTCAAGGTCAGTCTGTATCAAACAGCTTCACTTCCGTACATTAGTTCCTTTACCGTAGCAACAGAAACGATAATTTCTGATCAGTCCTCGTATTTTATAGTTGTTGTCCAGTTCTGGAATGTTGTTTAGAGTGATAGTAAATTCTACAACCACTCAGAGTCTTATAAACCCTATCTACTCAACTACTTGTGAGATTAATTTAATTTGACGACATGACAAGAAATAAGAACAAGAATACGGACAAGAAGAAACAAGAAAAAACAAGATGTTCTTTTTTAAGTGAGATTTTGAATACATATGAAAAGAGAGAACACTATTGTAATAACCTCCAAGAGAGATATTGTAATAACCTCCAAGAGAGATATTGTAATAACCTCCAAGAGAGATATTATAATAAACTCCAAGAGAGATATTGTAATAACCTCCAAGAGAGATTTTGAATACATATGAAAAGAGAGAACAATATTGTAATAACCTCCAAGAGAGATATTGTAATAACCTCCAAGAGAGATATTATAATAATCTCCAAGTGAGATATTGTAATAAACTCCAAGAGAGATATTGTAATAACCCCCAAGAGAGATATTGTAATAACCCCCAAGAGAGATATTGTAATAACCTCCAAGAGAGGAATCACTGGGTTTTCTTGGACTAACGCTTCCGCTGACATGAAATGAAACGATTATATTGAATCAAATGCTAGGTCTCCTGCTAGAAAAGTTCATTAACTGTACTGTGCGAGACAATTTTTTTTCAGCCAGAATCTATCTTAGACCTTTATAAATTTACCACCCGCCTATGCATCTAATATTGCAACCACATCTGGCCTGGTGTTTTTTATATATATATATGTAGATATTCTTGATAAAATCCGAAGAGGAATCTACAATGCTACTGGTACTGAACTGGCATCTCGGTTTTAGTCAGTTTCGATGTGCTGTAAGCTTCCCTGTGCCTTTTCTATAAATATTTTCATGGTAATTTTTCGGATGGGCTTTACACGTTGGTGCTTCGACTTTACGAATTTAAGTGCAGTACTAGACTGGCAGTTAGGTCTCATCATTTTATAATTGAAATGGCTAACCGTAAATTCTATTCTAACAGTTTCTTTCATCGCACATCTCACTAGTGTAACTCTCTTGATTTCCTGTCAACTATGATCCTCAAAAATTTAAATATAATATCAATCGTCATCTTTTCTCATTTTAAACTTTTATTGTCATTTCTCAGTGTATAATGTTTTCTTAGTGTATTTTACTATAAGTAACCCCTTATGTCTTGGTGACTTTATCGCCTTGAGATAATGATGAAAAGGTAAAATAATTAAAATAATTGAACATCCATTTGTCCAGTTCAATGTTATGAAGACAATGCCTAAAAGTGTAGTTATCAGAAAAACTGCACTTTTAACATTGTTTTATGGCAACTGTTTTGATAGTCTGACGTTAAAAGCTTCTAAAGCAAAAGATAACCTTCCGAAGTAAGCGGCGAAATTTATAGTCGTGTCCCGTGTTATAATTTTCTTCCGATTTTGTCCAATTTAATCGACAGACCGAAAGATGCAAATATATATATATATATATATATATATATATATATATATATATATATATATATATATTAGAATTGTACAAATAGGCAATTAATATCCGTTTATTTATAGATCAAAATGAGAGCGGGGAAAAATGAAGAAAAAGTTTCCAAATAAATGAATAAAACAAAAAGAAAAAGAGAGGCACCAAAATCCAAATTTTACAAGTATGTATTATTTTCTAAAGGCTAGAGTATTCGACAATCATCGGGTTGGCATTGAATTCAAGAATTAAATTCCAGCATTTTACACCGATATGAATACTGACTCCCAGTGTCGGATGCGAATACAAAACTATCTCAGCGATCAATTATATATATATATATATATATATATGTGAAAGTGTGTGTATATATATATATATATATATATATATATATATATATATATATATATATATATATATATATATATATTTAATTATTTACATATTATATGCGGTACTTATTAGAAAGCGCTCAATATCAGAGATAGAGCTAACATAATTGTTTCGATTGATGTGAGTTTGTGACCCTGTGTTTCACGCTCTTGCGATCGTCAGCGCAAGAGCGTGAAACCCAGGGTCACAAACTCACATCAATCCAAATATATATATATATATATATATATATATATATATATATATATATATATATATATATATAGATAGATAGATAGATAGATAGATAGATAGATAGAGATAGATAGATAGATATGATAAAATATAGTACGTTATATTTGTTGATTAAAGTGTATCAGGTGTAGAGCGTATGTAAATAAAAAAGTGGACATTGAAGTTAACACCTAGCAGCGACTGTTTGTTTCATCCTTATATGCAATCGTCAGGACTGTAAACACACTCACACATATATATATATATATATATATATATATATATATACACACAAAGGGAAAGAGAACGAAATTTTGTGTGTCTGTGTGTGTGAAAGAGAGGAAGTGTGTGCGATAAAAAGACAGAGAGGGGATGAAAGAAAGAAAGATGCCCATACTCAGAAGGAAGTGGGAGGAGAGATGAACATACCTGCTAGATAGATAGATATATAGCTTACTCTCAGATAGATTGCGATGGGAAAGTAGTTTGTGTTCATGCTTTTAAAATCTAAAATAAAGCATAAATGGCTGTTTGATGCGATGTTGATTTATTCATTTGGTCGATTCTCAATGAAAGAAAGAAAGAAAGAAAGAAAGAAAGGAAGAAAGGAAGACGGCTAGAGAAAGAAATAAATAAATAAAGAAAGAAAGAACGAAAAACGAACGGCTAAAAAAAAAGAAAGAAAGACGAACGGCTAAAGAAAGGAAGAAAGAAAAAAGAAAGTAAGAAAGAAAGAAAAAAGAAAGAAAGCCGAACGGCTAAAAAAAAAAAACAGAAATAAAGACAAACGGCTAAAGAAAGAAAGAAAGAAAGAAAGAAAGACGAACGGCTAAAAGAAAGAAAGACGAACGGTTAATGAAAGAAAGATAGAAAGAAAGAAACACAAACAACTAAAGAAAGAAAGAAAGAAAGAAAGAAAGAAACACAAACAACTAAAGAAAGAAAGAAAGAAAGAAACACAAACAACTAAAGAAAGAAAGAAAGAAAGAAAGAAAAGAAAGAAAGAATGAAAGAAACACAAACAACTAAAGAAAGAAAGAAAGAAAGAAAGAAAGAAAGAAAACGAACGGCTAAAGAAAGAAAGAATGAAAGAAACACAAACAACTAAAGAAAGAAAGAAAGAAAGAAAGAAAGAAAGACAAACAACTAAAACAACTAAAAGAAAAAAAAAACACAAACAACTAAAGAAAAAAAGAAAACAAACAAAGAAAGAAAAGAAAGAAAGAAAAGAAAGAAAGAAAAGAAACACAAACAACTAAAGAAAGAAAGAAAGAAAGAAAGAAAGAAAGAAAGAAAGAAAGAAAGAAAGAAAGAAAACGAACGGCTAAAGAAAGAATGAAAGAAACACAATCAACTAAAGAAAGAAAGAAAGAAAGAAAGAAAGAAAGAAAGAAAGAAAGAATGAAAGAAACACAAACAACTGAAGAAAGAAAGAAATAAAGAAAGAAAGAAAGAAAGAAAGAAAGAAAGAAAATTGAAAAATGTGATGGAATGAGTAAAAATGATCGAAGGATTATAAATAAAAAGATAATTATAAAAAATAAAAAAAAATCGGAAAGAAAAGAAATGAAGGAAAAAAACTGATGGAAGAAAAATAAAATGACAGAAAAAAATAAATATGAAGGAATGAATATACGGAGAGAAAAAAATCCCACGAAAGAAACAACTAAAAAGAAAGCCGTAGAAAGGAAAGAACAAAGAAATGAATGTTGAAGAAGACAAATAAAGGTGTATAAAAATGAATTCTAACCTTTTTGTCGGGTATGCACCCGTATTCAAACAATTTCACCCTCGACTGACCACTTGTTGTTCTGCTGATAATGTCACCCATCTTCATCCATACATTTATTAAGTAAGTTTTTTTCATTCATCAAAGCTTAACTCAAGACCCAACGACATGAAATATAAATTAGGAATAGTTTTGTCTGTCTTCAAAAACAGAAACACACTTGACATCCCTGAAAAACGACATTCAAAATTTAAGCTAGGTTTGAACTCCAACCACTGGCATCAGAGAACTCTTTCAACTACAAGAATGCGTCTTTGCATCTAAACAATTCTCTATGATTTCTCTCCAAGTGCCAGCACACACGCAATCTTAGCCATGTTTTTTCTTTTCTTTTTTTAATTATTTTTTTCTAAATTTTATAAGGGCTAATTACTGCAATAAATACTACAATCCCATTTCTCTGATTCTTTCAAGGAGTTATAGTGCAAAAGAAAGCAGGTAAAAAGATATCTTACCTTTCCATCAATGCAGGGACTTGAGCAAAGGTAACATCTCCACGTTGCTCATCTATTCTGTTTTGCACTGGCGCTTCCTTCGATCGACTTACGGTTTCGGTTTACTCCAGCTGTTTTCCTGGCTGTCAGTCTGACGCCAGCCGCCAACCCCGCCCCTACAACCAGCTCGACACTTCACTTGCTGCTGCTGCTCCTCCTGCTACTGCTGTAAACTACTAGTACTACTGCCGCTTTTGCTTCTTTTCACGCTGCTTGTATGGTTCTTGCTGGCGTCGTTCCATTGATCTACCTGGAGGAGCTGCAACTAGTAACACTGCTGTTTAAAAAGCGCTGAACATGTTGCAATGGATGACCAGGCTAATGCGACTGCTTCTAACCAACTCCAATGATAGTCGCCCATGATCTCTCTCTCTCTCTCTCTCTCTCTCTCTCTCTCTCTCTTTCTCTCCCTCTCTCTCTTTCTCTCACTTTCTCTCTCTTTCTCTCTCTCTTTCTCTTTCTCCCTCTTTCTCTCTCTCTCTTTCTCTTTCTCCCTCTTTCTCTCTCTCTTTCTCTCTCTTTTTCTCTCTCTCTTTCTCTTTCTCCCTCTCTTTTCTCTCTTTCTTTCTCTCTTTCTTTCTCTCTCCATCTCTCTCTTTCTCTCTTCCTATGTTTATTTCTTTCTCACTTTCTCTTTTTCTCTCTCTTTCTCTCCTCCTCTCTCTCTTTCTCTCTTCCTCTCTCTCTTTCTCTCTTCCTCTCTCTTTCTCTCTCTCTTTCTCTCTTCCTCTCTCTCTCTTTCTCTCTTTCTCTTTCTCTTTCTCATTCTCTCTCTTTCTCTCTCTCTTTCTCACTTCCTCTCTCTTTCTCTCTCTCTTTCTCTCTATATCTTTCTCTTTCTCTTTTCCTCTCTCTCTTTCTCTCTTCCTCTCTCTTTCTTTTTTCTTTCTCTCTCTATTTCGCTATTTCTCTCTTTTTTCTCTTTCTCTTTCCTTCTCTTTCTCTCTCTTTTTCTCTTTCTCTCTCTTTCTTTCTTCCTCTCTCTCTCTCTCTCTCTCTCTCTTTCTTTCTCTCTCTCTTTCTTTCTCTCTCTTTTTCTCTCTCTTTCTCTCGCATTCTCTCTCTTTCTCTCTCTCTTTCTCTCTCTCTCTCTCTCTCTCACTTTGTTTTCATCTTCTGTTCTTTTATTTCTTGTTCCTTTTTCGTCTTCTGTCTATCATAATGGTTTCTGTTTCTTTCTAATCTTTTGGAAATGTTCACATTGAATCCTTGTCATGAAAGATAAAATAGAAATAAATGAAAGAGAAAGAAACAGAAATAAATAAAGAAAACTTCTTCGTCATTTCTTTTTCCTTCTCATTTTTCTTTCTTTTTTCCTAGATTTAAATAATTCATTCTTTCTTTCTTGCCTCACCTTTTTTTATTGTTCCGTTTTTGTTTTTCATCCATTTTGCTTTCTATTGCATTTGTCACTAACGTTGTGAATTTCTTATTCCTTTCTTTCTTTCTTTCTTCCTTCCTTTCTTTCTTTCTTTCTTTCCTCCTTTATTACTTTCTTTCTTTATTCCTTTCTTTGTTCCGTTATTTCTTCATTCCTTTTTTTATTCCTTTCTTTCTTTCTTTTTTACTTCCTTCCTTCCTTTCTTTCTTTCTTTCTTTCTTTATTCCAGTATTTGTTTATTCCTTTCTGTCTTTGTTCTGTTTTCTTTCTTTATTCCTTTCTTTAAATTTTTTCTTTCTTTCTTTTTCTTTTTCCTTTGTTTCTTTCTTTTTTCTTTTTTTATTCCTTTCTTTGTTCCGTTATTTCTTTATTCCTTTCTTTCTTTATTGCTTTTTCTTTCTTTCTTCATTCCTTTCTTTATTCTTTTTTCTTTCTTTCTTTATTCCTTTCTTTCTTTCTCTCTTTCTTTATTCCTTTCCTTATTCCTTTCTTTCTTTATTCCTTTCTTTCTTTCTTTTTTTTTTTTTTATTCCTTTTTTTCTTTTCTTCATCTACCATTTATATTTTTTTTCTTTATTTTTTTCTTTGTTTCGTTATTCCTTTTTTCATGTTTTTATTCCTTTTTTCTTTCTATTTCTTTTTTACTTCCTTCCTTCCTTCCTTTTTTCTTCCTTTCTTTCTTCTTTTCTTTATTTCATTTATTTCTTCAGGATTCCTTTTCTATCATTCTTTCTTTTTTCTTTATTCCAGTATTTGTTTATTCCTTTCTTCTTTGTTTGTTTTCTTTCTTTATTCCTTTCTTTCTTTATTCCTTTTTCTTTCTTTCTTTCTTTATTCCTTTGTTTCTTTCTTTTTTCTTTTTTTATTCCTTTCTTTGTTCCGTTATTTCTTTATTCCTTTCTTTCTTTCTTTCCTTTTTTTATTTTTTTTCTTTCTTTTCCTTTTTTTCCTTTTTTTTCTTTCTCTTTCTTTATTCCTTTCTTTCTTTCCTTTTCTTTTTTTTTTCTTTATTCCTTTCTTTCTTTCTTTATTCCTTTATTTCTTTCTTTTTTTTCTTTATTCCTTTATTTCTTTTCTTCATCTACCATTTATATTTTTTTCTGTTATACTTTTCTTCTTTCTTTCGCCATCGATCCTTTTTGCATGTTTTTCTCTTTCTCTTTTTCTTTCTATTTCTTCTGTTACAAGCCCTCCTTTCTTCCCTTTTGCTTCCTTTCTATCTTCTTTTCTTTATTCACTCATTTACCTTCCTCTCTCAGGATACCTTCCTTCTATCATTCTTTCTTTCTTTCTTTCTTTTGTTCATGCCGTCCATTCATTTCTTTTTTTTTCTTTTCTCTTTCTTTTATCGTTTACCATTCTTTATTTATTTTATTTCTTTCTATTCTTCCATATCTTATTCTATTATTTTTTCCGTCTTTCTTTCTTTCTTTTTTCTATTTCCTTTGCGAGTAATTTCTATCTTTCTTTTCTTCTTCATTCCTTCTTTCCTTCATTCATTTACTCTTTCTATCTTTCTTTCTTTTTTGCTGTCATTCATTTATTCTTCTATTTGTTTCTTCTTCAATTTAACCCTCTCTCTTTCATTCTTTCTGTGTTTCTTTCTTTCTTTTTCTTCTGTCATTTCTTTCTGTCTTTTTTCCCTTCTTTCTTTCTTTCTTTTTCTCTTTCTTTTGAGATTTGTTTCTATCTTTATCCCTTTTTCCTTCCTTCCACATTTCATTCATTCTTTCAATTAGTCTTTCTTTTTATTCTTGCCTTTCTTTCTCTTGTCGTTTACCCCTCTTTCTTTCTTTCTTTCTTTCTTTCTTTCTTTCTTTCTTATTCTACGATTCTTTCTTTTCTTTAATTCATTTTCTCCAAATATTTTTCTTTTTTTCCCTAAAAATTTATTTCAATTCTACTATTTTCATTCATTTCTCTTCACATTTCTTCTTCTCCTTCCTGTCCAAATCATTCTTCCCGTTGTCCTTCATTTTCTCTTTCACTCGCCTGGATCTGTATTTTATTCCAATTTTATTTCCATTAAATCGTCCTTCCTTTCTCAAACCTTCTTCTTGTTTTTCTTCTGTTCCATATTCTATAAGAAACGTCATTCAAAACTTAACTTGATTCAATTGTATCTTCCTTAATCTAATCATTTTTACATATCATTTTATTTTGCAAAATGTTTTATTCCTTCTCAAGAACTTGCAAATTCCTAAATTTTTCTTCTAAAAAATCTTCATGAACGGAGCGAAGTCTTAAAGAAAATGACAACAGAAAGAACACATCAATTCAAAATCAAGAAATGAGAACTGAAAATAACTTCGACACATAATGAGGTAGGAGGGCTTGGAAAACATAACACTCACGAGGCATATTGAGGTAAGAGAGTGAGGGGGAGGCAGTGAGGCACATACCTGAGGAGCTTTTGTGAAAGGATAAGGAACGGGCAGTCTTAACAACGCAGAAAACTGTTAAAGGCCACAAGAAATAGGAAGGTGTGAAGAGCTATGATCGCCTATGTACTGAACGGACATTGATTTCCGGTTTTTCAATATCTATCGTTCCTATGCAAAGAAAACAAACTTCCATCATCAACATTTTCAATAGAAAATATTTCGTTCTTTTTTAAATAAATTCCCATTTTCTCTAATTAAATATTTTTCCTTTTTTAAATATTTCCCCAAATCTACCATTTTACACTTTCTTCCTATTTCCAATTTTTCTGTCTTCCAGCACTTTTTTGGCACGCTAATGCCTGCCTTCCTGCCTTCATTTCATCGTTCTTTCAATCCTTCCTTCCTTCCTTCCTTCCTTCCTTCCTGTCTGCCTGTATTCCTTCCTTACTGCCCGCCTTCCTTCTTTACAATCCTTCCTTTCTTCCTGCCCGCCTTCTTCCCTTCCTTCCTGCCTTCCTTCCTTCCTTCCTTCCTTCCTTCCTTCCTTCCTTCTCTCCTTCCTTCCTTCCTGCCTTCCATCAATCTTTCCTTTCTTCCTTCCTTCCTTCCTGCCTGCCTGCAACACTCCTTCCGTCCTACCTCCGTTCCTTCATTCTTTACTCCCTTCCTTCTTTCTTTCCTTCCTTCCTTCTCTCCTTCCTTCCTTCCTCCCTTCCTTCCTCCCAGCTGTCCTTCCTTTTTTCCTTCCTTCCTGCCTTCCTGTCTGCCTGTATTCCTTCCTTACTGCCCGCCTTCCTTCTTTACAATCCTTCCTTTCTTCCTGCCCGCCTTCTTCCCTTCCTTCCTGCCTTCATGACTTCGATCGTTCCTGTCTGCCTGACTGCCCCATTCCTTCCTTCCTTCCTTCCTCCTCCCTTTCTTCTCTCCTTCTTCTTTCCTTTCTTCCTTCCTTCATGCCTGACTGACAGCACTCCTTCCTTCTTTCTTTACTCCCTTCCTTCTTGCTTTCCTTTCGTCCTTCCTGTCTGCCTGCCTTCCTTCATTCTTTCCTTCCTTCATTCCTTCCTTCCTTCATTCCTTCCTTCCTCCCTTCCTTCCTTCCTGCCTGCCTGCAGCACTCCTTCCTTCCTACCTACCTCCCTTCCTTCTTTCTTTCCTCCTTTCCTTCTTTCTTTCCTTCCTTCCTTCCTGCCTGCCTTCCTTCATTCTTTCCTTCCTTCCTTCCTTCATTCTTTCTTTCTTTCCTTCCTTCCTTCCTTCCTTCCTTCCTTTCTTTCTTCTTTCTTTCCTTCCTTCCTTCCTTCCTGCCTGCCTTCCTTCATTCTTTCCTTCCTTCCTTCCTTCATTCTTTCTTTCCTTCCTTCCTTCCTGCCTGCCTTCCTTCATTCTTTCCTTTCTTCCTTCCTTCCTTCCTTCATTCTTTCTTTCCTTCCTTCCTTCCTGCCTGCCTGCCTGCAGCACTCCTCCCTTCCTACCTCCCTTCCTTCTCTCTTTCCTTCCTTCCTTCCTTCCTGCCTTCCTTCATTCTTTCCTTTCTTTCTTCCTTCCTTCCTGCCTGACAGCACTCCTTCCTTCCTTCCTCCCTTCCTCCCTTCCTTCCTTCCTTCCTTCCTGCCTGCCTGCCTGCAGCACTCCTGCCTTCCTACCTCCCTTCCTTCTTTCTTTCCTCCCTTCCTTCTTTCCTTCCTTCCTGCCTGCCTGCCTTCCTTCATTCTTTCCCTTCCTTCCTTCCTTCCTTCCTTCCTTCCTTCCTTCCTTTCTTTCCTTCCTTCCTTCCTTCCTTCCTTCCTTCCTGCCTGCCTGCCTGCAGCACTCCTGCCTTCCTACCTCCCTTCCTTCTTTCTTTCCTTTCCCTTTCCTTCCTTCTTTCCTTCCTTCCTTTCCTTCCTTCCTTCCTTCCTTCCTTCCTGCCTCCCTTCCTTCTTTCCTTCCTTCCTTATTGTCTTCATTCCTTCCTTCCTGCTTGCCAACATTGCTCTTCTTTACTCCATTCCTTCCTACCTTCCTTCCTTTTCTTTCTTCCTTCATTCCTGTCTGCCTACATTACTTCCTTGCTGTCTGCCTTTCTTCTTTATATTTTTTTCTTCCTGTCAACCTTTCTTCCCTCCTTCCTGTCTGACTGCCCTCCTTCCTTCCTCCCTTCCTTCGTTTCTTGCTGTCTGCCTACCTTGCTTCCTTTCTTCCATCCTTCCTGCTTGTCAAACTTCATTTCTTCTTTCCTCTATTTCTTCCTGCCTTACTTCCTTCCTTCCTGCCTTCATTCCTTTCTTCCTTCCTACTTGCCAACCTTCCTTCCTTCCTGCTTGCCAACCTTCCTTTCTTCCTTCTTTCCTCCCTTCCTTCCTTCCTGCTTGCCAACCTTCCTTCCTTTCTTTCTTACTTCCTTCCTTCCTATTTCAAAATTCCTCTTTCCGTATTCCTGTTTTCAAGATATTTCATTCAACCCTAACTATTCCCCAAAACCTATTTTCCCGTTTACTAAATGTTTGCCTTCCTAAATATTCTCAAATCTGATCCTCTTACACTTCATTCTTATTCCAAATTTTCCTATCGTCTGCCTTTTCTTTGTCTCGTTAATTCATTCTTTTCTCCATTCCTTCAAACTTTCTTTGCTACTCCCAACGTTTCTTATTTCTTTTTTCCTTCTTTCACAAGATTTCGTTCCACCCTAATATTCCACAAAACCCTTTCCGTTATTAAATATATTTTTACTCCCAGAATATTCTCAAATGAAGGTAATTTCTTCTTTCTTAAATCATCTCTCTTCCTCTATTTCCAGGCTTATTCCTTCACAAATATCATTGAACACTCCTTTTTCTCTTTCTTATATTTAAGATAATCCCTCCATTGCTAACTATATAAGTTTATTTCGCTACAGAATAATTACTTCCATCTTAAATATTCCAAACGCTAGTTTTTATCTCTACTCGTTTTTAAGATAATTTTCGTTCTAGTTCCACACAACTAGCTTTTTTTTTTTTTTTACTTTGTTCTCTAATTTTCGTAAATATCTTCTTCCCCACTATTGCCAACTGTTTCGTTCTTACCTGTTTTCCTATGATGATTCCTTTCTTCCCAAATATCATTGTCTCCCCACTTTTTTCTCTAAAGTATTTTATCATTATCCCATCCTGACGATTCATAACTTTCTCGTATTCTCTTTCTGGTTTTTCAAGTGAATTCTTCCATTCGTCTGTTTCGCTCATTCCAAAACTCTTTTCAGTTCCAATAGCATTCCTTCAATTCCAACTTTTCTTAAGCTTCTTTCTTTCTCTTTCCTTCTCCTTAATTCTTTTCTAAGACAATACTTTTTTTTTCGTATCCTCTTATTTTCCGTGTCTTCTTTATCAAGTAAATCAAAACATTACAAACTCGACAAAATCCCCGTTTTCTCTCCTCCTTAAATTTTTCGTTTCGACTTTTGAAGAGAATTCCTTCGTTTCTTTTTCTTTTTCTTTCTTCTTCTTCTTCTTCTTCTTCTTCTTCTTCTTCTTCTTCAATCAATCTTACGACCACAAGGTCATGTGGTCGTAATATTGATTTGTCCTTGGGAATACCCTTTGGGAAGGCTTGAATACCTATTTTCTCCCCCAGCTATGGGTTAATTAATAAGACTTATATCACTAAATCATTATCATCTTCAATATAAGATTCTTACAATTTCAAAATATTTCTGGCTTAAAATAACTTACAAAGTGTTGATAAGATACTGGGTTTGGAAGAATTAGAAAAAAGAAACATTACTAAGGAGTATTATCATATATATATATATATATATATATATATATATATATATATATATATATATACTAGCAGTAGAGCCCGGCGTTGCCCGGGGATGTAACAGTAAGAGATAGATCAAATATCGACCATCATAAAGACTGAAAAATAAAATTGACAAAGATTATTGTTTAAGGTTGACGGACACGCATGTCTTAATTAGTTTTTTTTTTACGAATTGGTCAAACCCAAATTCAAACAAAAACATTGTTTACAATCGTTATGAGTCTATCGATTGGTGAATACCATTTTATTATAAACAATTGTCTTGTAAATGGAATTTTTAAAGAAAAAAGTGTGCAAGACAATAAGAAATACTACCTGCCAAAAAAAAAAAAGTGGAGGTTTGTTTATCGGCTGAAAATGTAAGAAATCCGATCCCATGTATAAAGGAAACACACACACACACACACACACACACACACACACACACACACACACACACACACAAACAAACAACCTGGGTTTTTAACCTAAGTCACTCCACGGAAGCTAAAACATCATAGTCTGATGAAAAAGACTTTAAAAGTTTATGAAAACAAAATTTTATCGTCAAAATGCTTATGTTTTTATGAAGAGGATAGATTAAATTTTTTTTTAATTTTTTTAAAATTTTTAAAGAATATTCTAAATTTTGATTTAAAAAAACCTTGTTTCTCTTTGTCGCAACAAGGTGTAGTAAATAAATAGATAATTTTTAGCGCGTTTTTTGTATTTACACACATTAATTTGGAAAACAATAATAAAAATAATTATCCAGAAACTATTCACAGATGATCGAAATTATTATAAATATGTTTTGTTTTTTATTTTGGCAGAAATATTTTTTTATATTTAAAACCCCATCTAATTTTTTGAAAAACTCTAGAAATTCGAGACCATCGGTTTTAGTGATTACAATAGGTAAAAGCACAAGGCTTTGAAGAATGCAAATCATTTTTGGGGGGGCCAAAGTACCTGAAAATCAGCTGTGAATTGTAACATACAAAACTCAATAAAACAAATATATTATTTAGTTTCAAATGCTTTTATTTGTTTTAATTTGTTTTTATGAATATGGACAATATTTTCTGGAAGCAAAAAATTTTTTCAATGAAAATTGAATTTTTAATACAATTATTTCTTATTTCTTTAATTTTAAAAAGATTTTAAAAAATGTTTAAATTGAATTTTAAAAAATATTTTAACATTAGTTAAATGCAACATCAACCTTTCAAAATGTCCGTGTGAGATTGTCATTGTCTAGCGCTTTGAAAATTGTATAATTTGGACCAATCAGATTAGCCATGGTAATTAAGAAATGTAATTTTTGTGTTTATAGTCGGACAGTAATTATCAAGTACGGAAGGCCAACCAGAATACAATTTAGTTGCATTATTTGAGTTCAGCATTGTTCTCCGCTGTTAAGCCTTTTTTACTTTTTGCGAAACACGTATGGAGAAGTTAATTTGAGTTTTCAATTTCAACTGAGAAGGGTACCTACAAGTAACAGTATCATCTTATGAAATTTAACTACTGCTAAACTTTTAATTTATATGATCTTATTTTTATATTAATCTCAGTTATGACATTTTTCCATAAATGAAATATCAAAATTAATAATAAAATGAATGGAAATACAAATAACACAGTAAAATGTAATAAATGTACATAAAATTATAGTATTTTATGTACACTTCTGATAAAATTTCATAAGAAAGGTACCTAAATTAATTAGATACCTTTTTCTTATGAAATTTAATCTCACTATTAACAGTCTTATTTTTTTAATTTCTTTATATTTTCCATAAAGCATCGTAAACGTAAAAATGAAAGCTAAGTACAAAAAAAAAAAAATAAAAATAAAAAATTAGAGCGCTGAAAGTTTTCCTTAAAAGTAACGAGGTAAATAATTTGTTCACTTAAATAATTTCACTTCCTTCCATCCGTAGAAAGAATTACCCTCCCGTAAGTTATCTAAACGTCATGAATGTGCCTTTCGTCAATCGTCAAGCGACGCAAAAGGTTATGACCTGCTTTTTTTTATTTTCAAATTACATTTTTTCGGCGCAGAAGCTAAGTTAAGCTTGGTTCAAAATATTTTAAATAAACAGTATAATTTCTGTTTTTATTAAAATCAGTTTTGAAAAAATGATAATTGATTTTTAAAAAGAATATCAAAGTAAGATTTTAATCTTTTTATCAAATCGAAAAATTGATTATCTGTCCTTTTTTTGACCAAAAAAAACAATGTTTTTAACGAAAATTTCAGACGTGCTAGGAACGATTAAAAATGTAAAAAAATACTCCAAAAAATACTTTGATCTTTCCTCTTTAATAATAATATGAACATTAGACGATAAAAATTTTGTTTTCGTCAAGTTCGGCGTCTTTTTTTTTTCGTCATGCTATGCTCTTTTGTTTACATTTTCGTGGATGAGTGGTCCCCTTTCATTCTCACGATGTGTCTTAATCGTGTTTTCAAATTGATTTTCTTAAAAAACAACTGTGTTTTTCCCATTTTCGGCGCCGTTAGAACCACCAAAAGGTAATTTTATGTAGTCCTGTGTTTGTAGTGCCATGTTGCGCATGGAAAGGTGTCCCTGCAGTCACCTCCAGTGGGCAGCCATGAGGCCACATAATGATGCAGATTTTGCCAACTCCTCTCTGCCCGCGTCACGGTCGAAACTGTCTGTTTCTTTTACTTCGGGCCTTCTCATCTTACAAACAAAATTCAACACGATTTACAAACACCGAAAGATTAACCCTAAACCAGCCTCTCAAAAACCACCTAAGCCCCTCAACATTTCGTTCTCCAACATCCGGGGCATTAGGGCAAACTTCTGCAGTCTGGAATCTTTCCTCACTGCAAACGGCCTGGATATACTGGCTCTCTGTGAGACAAACCTTGTCTCGTCTATCCCCTCTTCTGATCTCTCGATCCCCGGCTATCTTCCTCTCCTCAGAAAAGACTCTCTAACCCACATGCACGGTCTTGGTGTCTACGTCAAGGAACATCTCCCTTTGGCCAGAGAGTCCTCTCTCGAATCGCCTGACCAGTCATATATGTGTCTCCGACTCTCTCTCCTCAATGCGGTAAGCTATCTCTTCTTCCTTTACCGCTCTCCATCCTCTCAAGACTGTGAGGTACTTGATAGCATTTCTGACAACATAGACAAGGCTCTCTCCCTCCACCCGTTTGCTCACATTTTTGTGTTTGGTGACTTTAACGCCCATCACACCTTGTGGCTTAAGAATGCTACTACTGACCATGCAGGCATTCAAACGCTTAATTTTTCAATCTCCCATTCCCTCACACAGATAGTTAACTTCCCCACTCGTTTTGCCTTCAACCGGGAAGGTAAAGCCTCTCTACAACGACCTGTGCTTTACCTCCATCCCCGAATCCTGCAGCGCCTCGCAACTCTGTCCTTTTGGTAACTCTGATCATGCAGTAGTATCGGTTAACATCTCCTTTAACTCCACCCCCTATAAAGAACCTCCTACCACTAGAACTTCGTTCTACTATCAACGAGCTGACTGGGACGCGTTCCGTGATTTCCTCCGCGATGTCCCCTGGGATGGAGTCTTTAAGCTCCCCGTCCAAGAATGTGCTTCTGAGGTCTCTTCCTGGGTTAAAGCTGGAATCGACGCTTTCATCCCATCAAGGAAATATAGGGTCAAGTCGCGCTCCTCCCTCTGGTTCTCGGCTGCTTGCTCAGCCGCCATCGCCCATAGGAACCACTACTTCCACCTATACCGTATCGACATGTCTGACTGCAATAGACGTCTCTTTGCCTCCGCCCGTAACAAATGTAAGCGTGTCCTCAACGATGCTAAGTCACTATTTGCGGCTCGAATGAAGGAACGTATTGCATCTCGCAAATTTGGCTCCAAAGATTATAGGCGTCTCTGCAAGAGCGTATTGAACAATTGCAAACCCTCTATACCTCCTTTATTCAACCAGTTCGAAGTCCTGCCCTCCTCTACCGACAAGGCCGAATGCTTTGCTCGGAAATTTTCATTCAACTCGACTCTCGACTCTTCCGGTGTACCCATACCCGACTTCCCTCTTAGAACTGAGGCCATATTGAGTGGGTTAAACATAACCCCATCTCTGATACTGGGCGTTATCTCTAATTTAGATCCCAACAAAGCTAGTGGTGAAGACGGGATACCAGCCATTGTCTTGAAGAAATGCGCGCCTGAACTGGCGCCCGCCCTTTCGAAACTATACAACTACTGCCTCAAGGAATCTTGTTTTCCTGCCTGCTGGAAGTCCTCTTCGATCGTTCCTGTCTTCAAGAACTCCAGCAACCCCTCTGACCCTTCCAACTACCGTCCTATCAGTCTCCTTCCCCTTTTCGGCAATGTATTCGAAGCTCTAATCAATACCGGGGTGGTTAACCACCTCATATCCCATAATCTGCTCTCAGACAAGCAATATGGTTTCCGCTTTGCCCGATCTACAGCCGATGTGCTTACGGCCATCACTGAAACAGTCTACCGAGCTCTCCAAAATAACGGGGAAGCTCGAGCCGTGGGACGAGACATCTCCAAAGCATTTGATAGGGTTTGGCATGCCGGCCTTCTTCGCAAGCTCCATGGTTATGGCGTTACGGGTCGATTATATAACCTAATACAATCATTCCTGTCAAACCGTGAATTGAAGGTCGTTCTCAACGGATTCTCCTCCAGTTCCTATCCCACGAACGCAGGTGTTCATCAAGGCTCCATCCTAGGCCCCACTCTATTCCTTATCTACATAAATGACC